CCAGAGCATATATGAACCGCCTGGTCTATTTGTCTAATATGTGTTACCTCACTTCGGCAGGAGAGTTCGAACGACTAAGGTCTATGTGAACTAGTGGAGAATCACCTGTAACGGATATTGGGATAAAGATCACCCTTGGAAAGGGGTGAATGGTAACCAGCGCCAGGATACCAGGCAAAGGAGACTGGCAGATGCTCCTGCCAGATCACCCTTTGAAGCGATACGCATGACCTCCAGCTGACTCTAGAGACTGCGAACTTCTGTTCTTAAGTTTGCTAGGGGATCCTACCCTTGAGGGGAAGAGAGTTGCTCGTTATCGAACTGTTCTCCTCGTGAGAGATTGGGGAAAAGTAAAACTTTTAGCTGGTCACCGGTCTGAGGAGCATCCTCTGTAGTAATAGCAACCGGATTTTGAAAAATATTTCGCGGCGGTTGTCGCGCCACTTTGACTTTTAAGAGCGCAATCGGGATATGCAAGACTTTCTGCTGGTCCGACGTATAGGTGATCCTTGGAGCTGGGAATTCTATCCTCATGGTTTGCTCAATCTTAGGAATGACCTCTGGATCATCTTCCGGCCAAGGTGGCTCAGAACTGGGGGTCGAGGGTGAAGAAGAAGTTTCTTGAGGGATGATGGCTGGGATGTTATAATGAAGGGTGGTTAGGGGTAAAGTTCTGCCCTTCCTTTCTTCCTCTTTGAACATGTTCACCAGTGTTTTTCGAACATCCTCAACATCTTCATGAGACGAAGACACTGTCTTGATTATAAGCTTGTGACCTCCATCGTTTTTCCTTTGGGGGGATGCTTGATCCGTGAAGTATTATTTAGCATCAGCATAGTGAGTTTTGGCCACCGAGAGCGGTCTTTTGTCAACATAGACCGTATGCTGTCCCCGGTCTCGACTATATTTGAATTCAGTGGTTTAAAAATTAGCGAGTCGTAATGGACTCGCCCGAGTCGGCACGGGAATTGGTTACCCCATGTCGATTCTAGTGTAAAATCGTGAACCGTCCAGTTCTAGAGCAGAACTAGTCGGTTCTGCATAGTGAACCGCTTGTGTGACATCATACATGGGTGAAAATCTCCCTTATGATGTCACATAACGAGTTAGCACGTGCCAAAATAGCATCGATTATGTGGCCCACACATGAGAAACTACCGTTACCCACCGGCCGTGCGTAGATGACAACCTCAGGCACATGCGTACAATTGTTTAGAAACTTACAAAGCTATTTATAGATGCAACACTAAAACTCGCTGTTGGATGTAGGATAATTCCCACAGTGCACTAAATTATAACGGAATTTTGATAAGTACTATTAATATAGAAAGCAATTACACTTGTGTTGATGTGGCGGAGTGGTTATCACTTCCTCGGTAGAGCCTTCACTTCTCAAGTTCGATTCCGCCTTGAACACATTTTATTTTATTTTTGTTGACAACAAGAATAAGTAGAAAATACATTTTTTAAATTTTTTTTTTTTTTTGAAATCTCTCTCTTTCTACTAACAATCTTTTGTACTAAATCTATTTTACAAATCTAAAAAATAAATTTTTTTTAAAGAAATTTATTCCATTTGAAATCTCTCTCTTTCGATTAACAATCTCTTTTACTAAATTTATTCTAGAAATCTAAAATATTAAAATTTTGAAAAATTAAAGTGTTATTTCAAAAATTGGTATGCATTCTAATAATTTCTAGCCAAATTTTTTATTTTATTTATTAATTTTTGCATTATAAATCATGTAATTTATTATCTTTCTTACAATTCTCAATATACATTTTAAATTAGATCGTATTATAAAATATTTTGGAGTTATTATTTGTATAATAAAATAATCATAAAATTTAAACCAACAATTTTAATTTCAGCATATAACATTATAGTTAGTTAGGTTGTAATAAATTTGGATTATAGTTAGTTAATTTGTAATATTTTTAGGGGATTAGGGCTTTCTGTCAATTTAAGATTTTGATGGCCATTTTTTATCGATTAAATCTACTCTTTATAGTAGTCCATGTATGATTATATATTTCATCCATGATAATTATATGATTTTTCTTATGTGTGATGTAAATTTAAAGTTTAACATAAGTTTATACAGAGAAAAAGCATATCAATATTCACAAATTGGTGAAAAAAGTGAAAGTTAACAATGGATTAACCTCATTTCTTATTGGATTCCTAAAAGACAACATTTATAATTAATTTTAATAATTTTTTTGGATTTTTTTAGGGCTTAATCCTCGGCCTATTCCCTATCCAGATAGCCGATTCACCGATCCATATAGTTTTTAAAATGCCCGATCCGGGGCACCGATCCGTTTTTAAATCACTGCTTGAAACATTGGTGCAATGTTGATGGAACCACCCCCTGATCATGGAGCCATGGTCGATCGAGGAGAATATTGTAAGAAGTGTCGGTGTCGATTACATGAAACTGAGCATAATCGTTTAGCTCACCAATCTTAAAACGAAGACGTACCGTGTCAGCTGGCTTCTCACGTGATTGGTTGAACCCTTGAACTGTGATATGGGTTGGGGTAAGATCTTCAGACCCCAACCCTAATCGAGTAAGAATCCTTCTTAGAATGAGGTTGACTGCTGACCCTCCATCTAACATAATTCGGTTGATGGGGCATGCATGTAATTCACCAGTAACATATGAGAGGGCGATTATGAAACTTTTCCCCCAGCTGCAAATCGTCCACTAAAAAGGTAATTGGCATGTAGAATCACCGGGTCTACCTCTATAGGTTCTACTTCGGTTTTGTACACTTCTGGTTAGAGAGAGCTTGAACCAAAGCCATCTGGTAATCCTTCAAGAGCATGAGCATGAGGGAGTCATAGATACTGAGAAGAGCCGAAAACTTCTGTAGATGCCCTATCACATCATATTTCACCTTCTCTTGATCAAGGCCGTGTGCTCCTAGTCCTGCCGCTGATTTGGTGGGTATAATGGGTTGAGGAGTAGGTTTGGGTAAAAAGGGTTTATTTTGGCGGGCTAGCGGCTGACTTGATTGCACAACGAGTTTGGTTTGTGACAGAAATTTGAAGTTTTGGAAGAGACTGAGTGCATGGGATAAAATGGGTCCCAGAGAATTGGAGATGTATCTTGGGAGCTGGGTCTCTAACCAAACCGTACCCCCCGCCTTCCACGTGCTAGGTGGTTCAACCACCCTTGCTTAGGCTCATGCCCAACTCCAGTTAAAGAGGGACCCATAGGCCCTTCATTCCCCATCTCTAAGCCATACCAACGGCCTTGCCATTGGTGCTGCATGTATTGGTGGCCCAAAAGCCACCACCCATCATGTGCACCCTGCTACCCACTGGTCTTTGCTCGAAGGTTGGCCACAAGGCCACCCCTTCCATCTCCTTCTCATGCTATCAATGGCCAAGTTGTTGGTGCCTTTGTGGGTGGCCTAAGGCCACCCCCACCCTCTCTACACACATGTTCTCCCACACATGCGTGGCCACAAGGCCAACCCCCACTGTCACCACTCTCAGACCAGCAACCTAGCCACCGGTCTCCCCACTCTAGGCCATCAGTCTCTCACTCAAGGGTGGTCATATGACCACACCCACCCACCCACCCACGATGTCTCTCACACACTCACCATGGTTTTTGGGGCGTCCATCATCACCCTAGAAATGTGTAACCCCCTAGGTAGTTTGTCCTTAAATTATTATATGATTTATTATGGAATAGTTTTTATTAGTACTGCATTTAAGTTATACACAATTTAAGATATACATAAATTATAAATTTTATGAACGATAAAATCCATCCTAATTCTATTATATTTTAAAAATTTATCAACAAAACTTTTTCCCAACTAATTGAGATGGACTATACTAATCCTGATCTGTCATTTTACTCTTAAAGGTCACACCTTAAATGAGGCTATAAGTCCCCATATCTTTTCTCACTACTTCCAACTATATTCTTACGAGCCTACCCTTTACCCTTTTTGAACATTCCACTTGAACTAACTCACACCTCTCAATAGGTGTTGTATTAAATCCACACCAAATATATCTTATTATATTTCAAAATTAAAATATCAAAATCATCATGCAACAAAATTATTATGTTAGTACCTTTAACTTATCCCTTGTCAATATTGCAAATTGATCTCCATTTACCTTATCGAGATTTTAGAGCTATTTCCACATGACATGTTTCTCTTTAAATTTAAATTGCTACTTTTGCTTCAAATTTAAATTGTTGTAATTATCGAGACTAGAATTTAACGTGATAAAACAAAGACTCTGTAAATTTATTGTAGATAATTGCCATTAAGCTCACTTCAGGACATTAAAAGTTGATGAAAGAGACATATGCTCTACACTATCAGACTTGAATAGTTCCCAGTTAAGCTATCAGACTTCGAAGTGCAATTGTTCAAGGACTGCTGAAACTTTCGAGTTCCTTGCGATCCCTTATGTATCACCAGATATGTGATTTGGTTGGGCTTCAATTACAGCAGTAAGAATGTTTCAAATATCATACGGACTTGTATGGCCCAGCTCTTCCATGGACTTTTTCCGTAATGCTGGGTTCGTCCCGCTCTACATTCTTATGACCTTCAATTTTCTTCTTTTGGTTTCAATAAAAGAAGGAATACATGGACAACGAATCCAGTTCTTTTACCACAAAATTACAATAAGCTGTTTCTCTTTATGGAGCCACGTGAGCTTAGTTCATAGTCATTGGGATCACGATATCAATTCTCCATGTGGTTGACCAGAAATCTTTTCCTAATGGGCCAGCTCGACTGAACAGTGACCTCCATTTTAACCTCTCAAACATTAATTTGAACCGTAATCAGAAGCACCATTACATGGCACTGTCGAATTAGTTTTTATATCCTCATTTTCTACGCTTACTATGCCCCTCGACAAGATGTCAATGAGGTTTTCACATACCCTACTTAATCTTGTCACTGGTTTCTTTCAATTAAATGAGAACCAATGAAATGTTTTACATTTGGTTACGGGCTGTGACAATAACATACCAATTTTTCTAAATGGTTAAAATCATTTTACATTCGGTTATGGGTTGGGACAATTTCATAGCAATTTTTCTAAATGGTTAAAATCATAGCAATTAATTATTTTTCGACTTCCAAATTTCAATAGCCACTTGAGTGGCAATTATACAAACATAACCATGCACAGTAGAATTTTAGAAAGGCAGAGAACTTCATCTGCTTGAAATAACATCCGAGAGGGAAAAGTCATGGAAGGGGGGCCCTGAAACATTAAAGAATACGGGATATAAATCCAGTCTGAAACTCAAAACAAGGAAAATAGTAGATCAAAACATGATTAGTTTGAAATGAAACACCATACATGTATCGAACAAAAAAGCTTCGTACCACAAAGCATGTATGCCGGAAATTTTCACTGAGTTTATATACCTTCTTGTTCACATAGGATATAGAACGGAATATGTGAAACCATCTTCGATCCCCCTTCACTCCAGTTGATGGTACCTGGACCCTGGTCGCACCCTCTCGAAGGTCCCAGCACGGATAAGCATATTGCTGGCTCGTTCATTAACCCCAAATAGTCTCGGGCACGTCTCCAAACTCTCATGTCCAAGGAATTCCGAGATCGAGCTACCTGTCACAATAGGCCTTCTTATTTCTTATTTTCCTTGCTTTTTCATAGGGAATACCATAGAACAATGAACTATGATACAAGGCACTCCAAGGCCACATCCACCATTCCTTACCACCAAAGGATGATTGGAGATTAAATGGAGTGGGGTCCACTAGGACATTCACTTAGGCGCCATCAATCTACAACTATCCACCAAAAGGAACAGTGGGTGGTCATTACACGGAGAATGACACACCATTGTCCATGGGACAATGGCGCAATTTCCTGTTAACCATAGATCATTGTACATTCCCTTTTGTGTAAGCTGCAAGGTCTTTCACTGGATATATATTGATTTTGAATGCACCTTGGCCAGGGATACACGTGCCCTAGGAAGTAAATCACGATGGTAAGTCGCAAGCTTTGCAATGGCTGTCACAACAAAACAGAGAAGCCTTGCCTGTGACGACTTTCTAGTGGTTGAGTTATTCGAACTGCCAATCGTTGGATCCTGGCTTAGACCAAGGCGACTTCACAACAAGCACATGGTTTAGTCCTATTTTGGCATATAAATGTCATACAAAAAACAAGTATAATTGCATGGTTCTAGTTTTAATCGGCAGAATTTGAAGGCCCATATTTTGGACTCACAAGTGAAAAAAGATCCATGGAAAACGAGGAACTCTTTCCTAAAGGAATCATGGCTAGAAAGCTTGAAACAATTTGGGAATTTGCCTACAAAGAGAAGTTAAAAAAAAAAAAAGAACAATTTTTGGTCCTCCTATGCACCTGGATGAAAGATTCTCGTATAAAAGCAACTCTAAACTCTCAAAAAGCTCTCTAGCAGTGTCCTTCTGAGATATTCCACCACCGCCATGTTCGCCTATTGCCCAACACAACTCCAGGGCCAGCTCAGTCTGCAAAAACGATCAATTTCTTTGTTCAAATTCAATCTGTGCTGCAAGCATAAACTTGAAAGACCAAAACTGCAATTAAATTACATGCACATGCTGCACATACTCCAAACAGGGAAACAAAAGGGTACACTGAACAGTTGTAACCACCTCAACCACCAAAAGAAAAGGGAACTAAAAAAAAAACAGGTGGAGGGTCAAGATGCTGAAGTTAGTTCACATCACTTTAATTTTCGAAACCAGACAAAGCACAAAGCAAAGGCATCCCCAGATAACTACTATTGTCAAACAAGACTGATTTCACTTCCCGTAACTCGTGCCAAACGGACTACTGATCATATTACTTTAGATATATCACAGCACTATCAGAAGAGTACAATAAAGTACCAGTTTCACCATTTCTGTTGTACATAAGTAGTTTCGACGTTGTTATCCTCAATGTCACATAAATTTTATAGTTGTAGGTTAGTTGTTATTTTCATTGGTCCTCTCACAGAAATTGTGCAGACACTATATTTAACTTCGGCAAATTAGAACTCTGGCAAACCAATCCCATCCATCTGAATATATAGGCAATATTTTTTCACTGGGAAGCACCCAAGCAACAAGATTTTCTTCCATTGCAATTTGAAGGAGTAAACTATATACATAAATTTGACAGGCAAAGGAGCAAACTATATTGCTAATCCAGTTCCCCTTTGCAATTCAGAACATCAATAGCAAGCATAAAAATTAGCTAGCCAGGATGACTAAGTTGTTCAATACTTATTCATCTAGAGAACTAAGCTTGACTGAACACAGCAGGACCCAAAGAATACAGCCTCTTTCATCCATCATTTGATCTCGGATTAAAAGATCCCATACTGTAATATCAATCATTACTGTAGTCACTCCAAGTTTCAAATCCAATCCAATTCAGTATGATTTTGTACAAAGAGAACAATGGGATTGTAGTGAAATCATCTCCAATGTCCTAGCCACCCACCTAAGCGAGGTCTTTGCCATGTTATCTCCCCTTCCCAAAGAGCTTTTGTAAAAGACCACCAAATGCTGGATGGTCTTGGCTCAAGAGTGCATCCATTCTTGGCAAATATCGAAATCCCTTGGATTGGTCATTAAACTGGATTGGGAGAAAGTTCACGACCATATAGACTGGGTCATTCTAGATGAAACCCTCTCAAAGATGGGTTTAGGGTGTTGTTGGAGGGCCTAGATGAGAGGATGCTACTCTTCTCCATTGTTTTCGGTCCTAATCAATGGCTCTCCTAGAGGCTTCTTCCTTTCCTCTAAGGGCCTCAGACAAGGAAATCCCCTCCCACTCTTCATGTTTGCTATCATAGCCGAAGTTTTCAGTCAGTCTATAACCCGCTTCTTCAACTCTGGCCGTTTACATGGCTTTAAAAGTAGTTCATGGGGCCCAGTTATCACTCACCTTCAAATATACTGACGATACTCTCATATTTTGCGGGGCCAGCCAGCTGGAAGTAGACAACCTACTCATCTTTCTTAAGTGCGTTGAGTTTGCCACGGGTTTTAAAATTAACCTCGAAAAATTCAAAATGATTGGTGTAGCATTGGATCCCCAAGTCACCTAGGAATTTGCAGAAAGCGGGGGTTGCCAAGCAGAGCCCTTGCCGTCAAATTATTAGGCCTACCCCTTTGCATTGGCAAGCCGAAAAAACGATTGTGGTCTCATATCATTGATAAGGTAGACCAAAGGCCAACTAGCAGGAAAGGTCAATTTTTAGCCTCCGCAGGTAAGCTTACTCTCATTTAAGGCCACCCTTGCCAACGTTCTGGTGTACCAAATGTCACTTTTTCACATGCTGACTGCTGTGACTCTTCGACTTGAACAACTCATGCGAAGATTTTTTTGTCAGGGGACTCTCCAACTCACAAGTTCCATCTTGTATCGCAGAAAAAACTGTGCCAGCAAAATTGCCTAGATGGACTAAGCATACGGAACCTTAGGAAGCATAATGTAGCCTTGCTTGGTAAATGGTGGTGGCATCTTACCACACAAAGATATCAACTTTGGATGCAGACCCTTTGGCCCAAATATTGCCTAGACTCGTCTTCGTGGCTGCCTGCTTGCAGGGCCAACAACAGATCGTATGGGATATGGAAATCCATTTTCTCCTCCTACAACCTATTCAGAAACCTCATTTACTTCCATCCCAGGGATGGGCACCGAATTAAATTATGATCTGATCTGTGGATTGGACGTACTCCCTTTAAAGATCTTTACCTTGACTTGTTTGATCTGGCCTATGACCGAGCATCTACTGTAGCTGAGGTTATGACTATATCAGATCCCTCTTGAACATGGAACCCAACATTCAGAAGACCACTAAACAACCTTGAACTGGTTGGCCCTATAGCCTCCCTTGGCTCCCACTTCCATCACAATCCAAGCATGGTCCTCTATAGCCCCACCAAAAACCCGAGTGTTCAACTGGTTCACCCTATCCGAAAAGGTATGTTAAGAGTTATCTTTCTGGACCCCGTCTCCTGAAAGATATCCAAGCATGGTCCTCTATAGCCCCCCACCCACCACCTCATTCAATCACTTGCTTGGCTGCCTTGCTCCCCGAAAAGGCAGAAACGAGGAACTTACTGTTGACCAACTACAACAGAGGGGTCTTCCCATCCCTCATAGGTGTGTAAAGTATTGCGAAGATGAAGAGAACAATTTGGTCTGCCCCTAATAGGTGTGTGAAGTGTTGTGAAGATGAAGAGAACAATGCCCATCTGTTTATTCTCTGTCCCGTAGCACAAATAATATGGGGTCCCTCCAACTATTTAAGTGCCAATGGGTCACCCCTAATTTGGTTCCCATGCTGTTTCGCTCCCCTCACCCCTTCCCCTCCATTGCTGCTATGCTTTGGATCCTTTCGATAGAGCACAACAGCAGAAATTTCAGAGGTGAAAGGACCTCACCAAGCGATATGATTGAAAAGATCAAATCCCTCGTTATTTTTGGGCTTCTAATCACAAACTGTTCAAAGGGACTCTCCACCTGGCTTTCTCCAACACTGGAAAACATTACTCTACACCAGGAAAGCTCGCATCACCCGTGGTTCCTTGTGGATTCCACCTATCATTGGGCAAACTATAATGAATTTTGACGGATGCTCTCTAGATAATCCTGGCCCCTCAGGGATAGGGGGCCTTTCTAGGAATCATGTGGGCCAAACCCTTTCCTACTTCCCAAAACATATCGGTCACACTGATTCTAATACGACAGAGGCACTAGTCTCCTTGAGAGACTAAGGCTTTTTAATCCCCGGTGGAGTCTTTCTCTAGTAGTGGAGGGGAACTCCAAGAATGTAATTTGGTGGGCCTCTGGCCTCTCCCCTTGGCCTTGGATGCTAGCTCATATTTTTTACGAGATTGTGCACATTTGCAGGGGCAAGCACATCTCTTGGAAGCACATATGGCAGGAAGGAAACCATGACGCTAACTCTCTTGAGAAGGAGGCTGCATCATTTGTCTATCCCCTTGTTTTGGCTACTATTTCTGTCTATTTCATGGACTTTCATTTGGTAATCACCTAGAAATCTAAACTGCTGCTTTTTTTATACAGTCTACCTAGAGGGGACCTTTAATTTTTGTACAGAGCTCCCTGGGCATCCCCCTTGGGGAGTCGTTGTTTGTAAAGAGCTCCCGGCTTATGGGATGCCTCATTTTTCGACCTACTGCACTCTTCTCTCCAATAATACAGAAATGTTAATCTCTTTCAAAAAAAAAAAACTGCTATGTAAACACATCATTCGAATCATTGAGATCCTAGCTAGTGTTAGCAGCAAGAAACAAAAAGTGTAATGCGGTACTTGACTTGGTCAATATTAAAACAACCAACCCTAGTTGACACATGACTTGGGCAAATCAATTGAAGGAAGCGGATATATGCTGTCCATATAGGGTACTCCCCCAAGGAGCATCACTATCCAAGATTGATTTAACAGGAACTATCCAAGTGTGTAATGGGGAGGAAACCGTGGTGTGCAAGGACCGTAAGTGTCCTTTGTCCCATTCATCTTCCAACCAAATTGAGGAAATTTTCTAATTCTTCTTGCATTTTCTTCTGAATTCAGGATGTGACATTGCTTCTTCAAGACGGGAGGATCTCTGACAGAGAAGATGTCTGAAACATATGCCCTAATGCGAGGAGACAAATTCTTAAGTGAGATGACTAATAGAAGACCTCCTTTAAAAGCAATAGGCAAGTCAAGCCCAATGACACTTAAATGCTCGGTGGGATGATTATAGTAGACCTCCTTTCTAAGAGAAATAGATAAGTCTAATGATATTCATAACCATGGAAAGTAAAACCAAGAGGTAAATCTGAACTCCATTGGAAGTTTGTAATTTCACTTCCCAGAATTGTACTTCCATCCCCCATGATAACTCGCCATCCTTTATGACTTTCTCAAAATATTGAAATGAATTGGATCTTCCCAAGGATTTGTTAGGATATGATTCTTATTCACGTACTCTGCCTGTTAATTACCACCAGAATACATAGATTTCTCAAGGTCTTCTGTTCATGACATTTGTAGCCTCTTCTACAAGCAGGTAACAAAACGAAATTACTAAACGGACTTGGGATCAAGCTTACTTGCATATCTGCCACTTGGATAAAATAAATACACAAAAGAATCTGAGTGACTATGTTCAGCAGGCTAAAGACTTTTGTGTCAGTCTTAAATTGAGTTGTCATCATTTTGTAGTGCTGCTGAAATATCAATGACAGTTTTCCATTGATTTCATGAAACAAATTCAGGCAACCCTACAATAATCGTCAATGATGGACACAGCCATAAGCCTATAACCAAACACAGAGACAACTACCCACAGTACCAGACTTGAGTACACATGACTTAGAAAGGAGTATGATACAGGACAGAAACAGATCCACAGTAATTACACAATTGACTTGTTTCAGCGAAGAGCCAATAACAAATGACAAAGGATTTCCAAGACAAGAATAACCAAGAAATGCATCTCTTGTTTCCAATACCATAACAACAAGTTGGGGACGATTCCACTCAAAAGTGAACAAAGTACTTCACAGTTTGCCAACATGCTTATATTCTATGTAGTAATTATTCGCATGATTGTAAAACAAGTACTTAGATCGAGGCAGTTTGGGACAAGTAATTAGCTTGAGGCAGTTTGGGGAAAAAGAAATAAAAGCCCTGCACTACAGCTCAGTTCTTAGATGATACTGTTAGCTGACAAAAGGTTTGGAGCAAGTTAGGAACCAAAGGCCCAGAGGATACGGACAATGAAGGGAGAAAACTAACAATACCAAGCTTGCATAGAAGAGTCGAGCCACACTTGAGCTTCTCAAAGGAGGCTGAGGAGGAGGTTAATCCAACGATTGATTATAAAGAAACAGCATAGAAAGAAAATATGATAGTGCCTCTAAATCTTATGGGGTCCTTGATAGAACTGACACCTTCAGCGGCCTCCAATTGCTCCATGAAATCATAGAATGGTACTAGCTGAGGATGCTATATTAACTGTAGAGAATGAAACTAAAATTCAGTCATGAAACTAGAAATTGGATTTCCTTTATTATAATGACGATTGGTGGAGTTCAACCACCATGAAGAAACCAACATATATCTTGCATCTAACAGATCTGACTGATGGTAGAATTAGGATGTTCATTTACCACAGCTAATCAACTAGAATTGCCCATGGCTCATTGATATGAAGGAACTTTGGTTGAGCACTTCAATCTTAAATTGATCAGTTTGCTGCAACCTGTAGGGTCTAAAGGTGACAAACTTCCTAAATATTATTGTAATTCCACAAGTCTCTTCAAAAATCTTCTTCACTTGGATGTGTAAAAACATCATATCAACAAAGAGACTTCCCAAACTAAAGGAAACTACGGAAGACAGCCCTACAGGGTAAAACACATGTTTCAGGATTAAAATTTTAAGAGTTCCTTGTTCTGGGAAACATGCTGAGAGCTCAATTCTAGCCTGTAAAATACAAGAAACTAGATCTAATATAAACTTCATATTGGGTCCTTCAAAATTTACCAGAAACTGGCTAAAATGTCCCAATATAGAAGAAATGACCATTCCAAATCATGAAACAGCAGGAAATCCTTGACGGGATCTTCTGGAAGTTGGGGACAACCAACCTGAGATTGTTTATATAAATCAAAGTGTTGCCTCTTTCCTATTTGCTTGAATTAGAATAATGTTCACAAGCATGAACCTTTGTAGGAGCACAACGCAAATTATGACAAGAGGAGAGGAACTTAGTGTAGCTTCATCACACCATAACCATTGCATTGAGGGAATAACTACATTTGGACATAATAACCTTTTACGCACGGGTATATTACCCAAGATACACTGTCAAACAAAGATCCTCAAAGTGCTTCACATACTCTGAAATGACCACATGCTCACCACTTCATTAAATCAACCAAAAAACCTCTATGTATTGTTCTTTGCGTACTAATAAGAAACCTGCAAGAATCAACCTCTACAACCATTATGTATGGAGGGCAGCAACAGGTAGCTTTTTTATGGACAAAGGAGACAATATGAGTAACACATTACTCCCGGGTTAAAATTAATTGCATTAGAAACAAATCACATAAACAGAAATTGTGAATAATAATAATGATAATACTAACAATAATGATAATACTAACAATAATGATAATATTAATAATAATTTATTATTATTATTATTATTATTATTATTATTATTGTTATGATAATCATTATTATTATTTTTATTATTGTTATTCTTATTGTTATTCTTATTGCCATTGTCATTGCCATTGCCATTGTCATTCTCAATGTCATTGTCATTCTCAATGTCATTGTCATTGTTATTGTTATTGTTATTTTTATGGTTATTGTTATTATTCGGAACATTAATTGTGATTAGTTGACTGTTCTATTCCATTGGTGCGACAAATCATAATGCCAATTCCATTCAAGAGCCAATCTTTGTTTCTAGACAAGAAAGGGAAATCCTTCCAAAAGTTGTAAGATCTCTAATTGATAGTAACCAAGTGAAAGAGACATACGTTCATACCTTTTCAGGGCTGTCATATGCTTCTCCAAGTCTGTCAATTATAGGCTTCTGCATTAGGAACCAGAGTAATTATAGTCATGCTCAATTAAATATACCAATTAAGGTAAATACATCTCAAACACCCCATAGACGCTGTGCATTAGTTTGTCAAAACCAACAGTGGCAAAAAAGAAATGCATTATATTGCCATATTGTTGTAATAATTAGCAGATGGATGAAATAAGAAACCTTTAGCATTGCAACGAAACCTGGTGATCGATGAAATGCTGCAAGAATAAATTCGCGAAGCCTCTTCCTCACCTAGGAGAAACACAGGACACGTAAGCAAACTTTCTGCATGAACATGAGCTAGCATGATTTTATTCCTGTCTTTGAACTCATCAAATATTTACCCTGATAGAAGCAATGCCAAGCTTGAGAATTACTTGCAAAAATCATGTTGTGAAGGAGTGAAAGGAAGCACTACTTTTAGGCATGTGTCGAACTAAATAAAAGTCATCAGTGAAAAAAGGAATATTTAAAGGAAAGTATACAATGAGATTATTTATCCTTGGCACAAGGAGGTCACAATTAATCTTGATCATTGGATGTGAAATTTGATGGCTGCATTTATTTCAGACCAAGCTCAAACTTCAAAAGAAGTTTTTTCGAACTTTGTGACACACCCAAGCTATCAGATTTCACATAGGATGGTCGTAAATTGTAACCTTCTTGTATCAAAGGTAAATGGTCTCATTGTATACAATCTCTCATATTTAAACAACATTCAAGATCCCAACTTTAATCAAGGAAAAACAAAGAAAAGAACACAATGAATTGCAATTAATGCGTATGGACCATAAGTGTTGGAGCTGAGAGCAGGATTGGTAATTGGTACGGGGAATGCCGAACTGCCATAGGGTGAAAGCTCTCTGGGGTTAGGATAGATATGCGTATATTCAACAAATTAAGGAGCTAGAATCCTAGGATACCCGAGAGCTATGTCACAGGCATCGGGGTTCTGACTTGGAGAGATCCAAGCTCCACTACACATAAAATGAGATCAATGCCCGCTAGATCCATTATCATACACCTTAGCTTATTGCCAATGCCATAGTTATAGTACTGCAATTTACTACGATACAAGAATTTATCGATATCATAAATAGTTTACTACGATATGAAACAGTAGTTTATTAATACCATAATTCTAGTATAACACAATATGATATGCACCACAATTTAACATATTCTGAAGAAATAAATTATAATATCTAGGAGAGGAGCAGTAGTTCAATTAATAGTATAGCTCCTCTCATTAGAGTGATCCTACAGGCATGTAGTCCGAGATCTCATTTTATGAGGAGCAAGATCCCCATTTATGTAAACCAAGCTCCCTCTAAGATCCCTTAGAGAAATCGTGGGATCAAGTTCATAAGGTGGCACCTTGGCCTTATCTCCGGTTCCCACAATTATCATTAAAAATTATACTCATGTGCATTCTTCTCATATTTGAAAGAAGGAACATATATTTTTTTTTCTCAGACACAGTAGGCAAATTCACAAAAAAAAAAAACTAAGCAATTTTTGTGAAGTGCAGAAGTTGTTGTTTTCCAATAAAAGAGAACATATTCTTAAAGAGCCTTGATGAGCATGAAAGTCGCGTGTAGAGACCTAAGACAATCGCATACTAGTGAATTCCACGTATACTTCAGCAGCAGTACTAGTCGTGGTGACTCGGGAAGTCTATGAGTCAGTCTCACGCACACACATATATAGGCAGACATGCAAGAACAAATGAGGAAGATAGAAGCAGTCTCATTTTATATAGGCAGCTTCTATAAAATACAAACCTCTATGAAAACAAACGAAAAAAGGAGAATGCAGAAAAAAGATTGTTGCACACTCATTTTTTTTGTATTTTTGGATTTCAATTTCAAGTTTTAAGGGCTTCTATAAAATAAAAAATCATAAATTGTAAACGACCAAAAGATAAAGGACCAAAATTTTCTTTTTTTAAAAAAAAATAAACGAAGAAAAAAGCAAAAGGCATTTTTGTGAAACCAAAAACTGGATGTTTCATAATTATATTACTTTAAAAATTTACAGCTCAATAGGCTGGACTGGCCGAGAAAGGTTTTTTCAACCCTATCAGATTTGGCTTTTGAGAAAAGCCTCAGATATTGATTTCTCATTTTGCTCGACAAACTGGGACTAAGCCGATAAAATAATTTGCGTGTCTTCACCATTTATTCCTTTAGCAAGAATAGGGTTTCTCATGGCAATCCATTTGTCTAATGGTATTGCATTAGGTCGACAAGCACAAGTAGTAGCTCCTGTATCAATTAGTGCTTCTAGCTGATAAGGTTTGTAACAAGGAACTATGGGAGATAAAAGAAAGGGTAAACAGCCCTTACTACCTCATCAGAAAAAGGAAAAACTTTATGAAGCCAGGGAACATTCAGTTTAGAGAGCTTAGACAAGGCTCTCAACCGCATCAACATTTTGCTCAAATCCTAAATACTCAACGGTTATCTTTTAAAGATATTTTGAGATTACAAGAGCAATTATGCTAATCCCAAACTAAACAAGTTGCGGATTTTTACAGAAACCCAGATATCACTTTTGAGTTCTATCATGAATTAAATGCTCTATGGAAATACCATATTTTATAAAATAAGACACGATTTAGAAAAAACATGGAAAATTTTTTTGAGTTCTACCATGAATTAAATGCTCTATGGAAATCCCATATTTCACAAAATAAGACACAATTTTCAAAAAACATGGGAAAATTTTTTGAATTGTTAGCAAAACAATAAGTTAAAACCAGGGATCTGCAAAACCTGTCTCTTCAGATTATTAAACAAATGGACTGGGAAACAAAATTTTCTTACAAAAAGATAAATAATTTTCTACAAATTTCAAAACACCTGGATGGCCAATCTAGAGATCCTATATTTGAAAGAATTAAAAGAATTTTCCTTTATGAAAAACTAAAACTAGAACTCCCATATGACGTTTTTCATGAGCATATTGAAAATAGGCTAAAAAAGCCTGAAAGAAATATAACCAGAATACTAACAAAGTATTATGGTAATCTTATTTTTATGAATCCAACAAAAACCCAAAAAATTATATTTTTCCTTAACCATGACGATTGGGAAATTGAACCAATCAAATGGGGACTTGTGGATAAAATCATTTTTGACAATCAAGATCCGATAACATTTAAAATTTTTCCAAGGATAATCAAAACTATGATTCATGAAACTACCAAAAACTGGAAGTTTCATAATTATATTACTTTAAAAATTTACAGTTCAATAGGCTAGACTAGTCGACAAAGGTTTTTTCAACCCTATCAGATTTGGCTTTTGAGAAATGCCACAGATATTGATTTCTCTTTTTGCTCGACAAACTAGGACGAAGCCGATAAAACACTTTTTAATACAGAAAACTACTGTTCAAAAAACCTTGAGATCATAAAAAATGAGCTCAACAGACCAAAATATTACTTGAAAATGATGAAAGTTGGTTCAGCGTTACAGACGGTAGAAGGCTGTTCATAACAAATTTTGAAGTATCCTACAAAAGAACTAAATAACAATTGGCTAAAGTCCAAGAGTTCTTGGATAACTGTATAAACACCAACTGGACGTCCCACAATATCTAATTCCTTTTGATGAACCAAAAGGACCAAATAGTCCAATACCAAGCTTCAGCTTTGACAGTGTAGCCGAAGCCAATATACAAAATATGATGGAAGACTGACACACGTAAGCAAGATGGGACCCGGGATAAGACTAAACCAGTACATTCCGAATAAAGAAGACAGTATGCAAAGATTTTCTTTAATAAAATATATGCATATGCATGTAGTCTACCTTGCAATAAATGCTAAACCACAAATGCAAAAACATCTACCTTGTAATGAATGCTAAAAGAGCAAAATAGGTCTTCCTTGCAATGAATGCAAAAAGCCACGAGTTTTTGCATAAAACTATTCAAAAGAAGGAATCTTCTTTCATGCACCCTCTGAAAGACCACTATACAAGTGAGACTTACAAAATGATCATGAGAAGGGCGATCGACTACAAACACTATTCAGCACATGAATCCATAGGAAAGTATCGAATAGTAAAAACGTTATCTTTTTGTGATGATTCACATGACCAATTACTGCAGCCAACAGTAACCATCTGAAGAAGCATCAAATTATCTACAAAGGCTATCACCTTAGCGGAATCGAAACTTTTATTTGAAGTTAGGATCAAGCCCTTTGCCTATAAATAGAGGATACCCCTCTCAGTAAAAAACCAGAGTCTCATTCTAGCTCTCTCTCTCCCTCTCTCTTTGCATTATTGCTTTATGACAACTACTTCTCAGTAGTTTGTATATCCCTGTATTTAGTCTTTCTCTTTATGTAAGAGTCATTGTAAGAATCCATCTTATTAGTAATCCAAGTACCTGTATTTTGGTGTTCCGCAACAGATTGGTATCAAATCTTAATGAATCACCTTGCAAGGTTGTGCAAATATAATTTAAAAAATTTTCATTATTCCATTCACCTTTTTTCTGTATTATAATTATAGCCATAGACTGAGCCCAATCATCGATTGCTTGATCATATTCATTATATGGGATATTTGTTAGATCTAGATAAGTACCCCAACATCCAACTGAATTTTTGTTCATATTTATTGTTAAAATTTCTTCTTTTATATGATCTGTTGAAGATGAATCGCCAAATGTTGCGAATTGCTCTTCATCCAATTTTCTTTAAAATTCATGGCTAGTGTATGATTTGGTTTCAGGGTCTAATTCCAGTGGATCTGGATCTTCGACCTTCTTTTTACCTTTCGAATAGATATTTTCTATATCAAATTCACTGTTTGAATCAGAAGTAGTTTCTTCAAGGTCAACAGTTTCTGTAAAATTGCCTAAAGCAATTTAAACAGTCTCTTCATCACTTTCTTCTAAAGAAATAATAAGTTCATAATTAAAATTTGTCAAGAGTTTTTTGTTGCTCGAAAAAAGCTCTTGCATCATTTTTTGTAATTTTTCTCTTTCTCAAATATCTGGTTGTTTAATATACCGGGTTTTCTAGTATTCCAGAATTTCCTTGATAGAGTTATATGATAATGAAATTCAACCCAGACTTCTAAATTGGAAAGATCTACAAATACCTAACGATTGGCTAGTTCAAAATTTTACTGAAAATAAAAAAATTATGAACCAATAAATCTTTAGATCACTGATTCTAGATCTAAACCAAGAAGATCAGTAGACATAGGCCAATTATCTCGACAAGATCATAG